CTCATTAGTGATTTTATTATTTCAACTGGTTAATCATTTCTTTTCGTAGAAAGGTGTATGAAATCATCGATCACAGCTCAATGTATCGTCTGAATTAAGAAATGATCCTTCACATTGTTTACTTTCAAACTGATCCTATTTCATCCTCAATAATCTGTAACAAAAGAATATATTTGTGTTAGTTTACATATATGTTAAAATATTTAAAAAAACTATGTTGATCGTGATGCACAGGATTTCTATGGTTCTTCGATTTTATTTTATAATGATCAATTTCCTTTTTATTAAAATAAACTATATGCAAATCAAAACATCTAAGTCTTGTCTTAATAATTTCATCCTTTACATTTTGGTAGATGTTCAGTTTTTAATGAGTTTTTTCTTCAAATCTAATTACACATAAGTATTAAATACTAGATTCCATTTTAAGTTTGAAAAATTTATATCAAAATTGTTCAAAAAACACGATGACGGAATAAATTACAACTTGAGATTGTTAATGATCAGTGAAAACAACAGAATTAAAAATATGAGTGGAAAAAGAATATAATATCCACAGTTATTATGAAAAAGCAATTATTAATGAAAAATATTGAGTAGAAATTCAAAAAGCCATAAAAAATACTCATTATTTTTAGATGATGATCTTTATTGCGCTAATGAACAGAAAAGAAGTCAAAAAATGATTCGTTTTACACAAATAGAATATCATTTTCGTGATTCAAATTTCCAATTATCAAATAAAGTTTAACAAGAACATCATTAACTGCAATATAGAATCATTCCGGAACTTTAATAATTAGGACAGAATAAAATTATTCATCTAGCAAAGTTCCTTTATCTTCAATTGACATGACCTTATTAGAATACAATAGACTTACTATTATAATAATAGACAATAGAGATATACATCATATGTCAAAAAATAGATTTCACTAGTGACTTTTAGTGAGACTATTCATCAATTATTATACTATATTTAAATTTAAGTTGATTATGAACGTAATCAAATCAAAGAATGACTAGTAAATTTTTTCATATTCTTAATAAAATAGTATATTATATAATATCTTATTATCATTATCAAAGAATTATTAAGTTTATTTCCTTTTCATGATTGGTTTAAGATTATGAATTATATTTTATCAATGTAAACAGACTTGATTTTCTTTTTTAATTTATGAAAGCAATGGTAAAACTTTTCTATTTTTAGTAACATAATTTTCTTGTAGGGAATATTCTGATTAATAAGTTTGAAAGAAAAACTTACCTTGGTTAATTTTTAATGGAAAACTGAATGTCAACATCATATATTATTGACATCCAATTCAAGTTTTTTTTGTAGAGTATTTATGAATATAAGGAAATTAACATTTATACAATTGTTTTTCAATCAAGATTACGTTTTCATCTATTTCTAGACCAAAAGTACTCTATGATCATGTCAACAATAAGACATGATAATAATCTTAATTTTTTATATTTTCCCAATCGAATCTCTAAGGAATAACATTTTCCTGGATAGATACCCTTGAAAATTGTAATATCAAATAAGAAGATTGCCTGCTTCTTTTCTGATCTTTAATAATTCTATTGTTGATTAAAAATACTCATAAAATTAATGTACTTAGTTAACTATAACACGATCATTTGTTGTTGTTTTTTATGTTTAATCAACTTGTAAATTTCTTTCATTCGTAGAATAATATTCCTATAGAATAAATCAAAAATAAAAGAATATGTTGTTAAGAATTCTCGAAGCGTAGAACGGGTAAAATAGAAGTAATCATTCGGTAACCTTTTTTCTTTTAATTTCCCGAAAGAAAAACTTTTTACTCTTGACATATATTTTTTTCTATTTTGTTCCAAGATTTCAAATCTTTATTATTTTGATAAAAGAAGATCTTATCTATATTAAGTTAATCAACATACTTTTTAATTACGTTCTATCTCTATTTATTGTTCATAATCTTTAGAATCAATCTCATTCTTTTCTTCTATTTCTATTTTATACTCAATCTTTTGTCAGGCAACCTATGCACGTACACATGTAATTCATCGCCAACATTTCTTCGAGTATCATTTATTGTTACTGAAAAAAATCGTCAAACGTGTAAGTCATATACTAAATTAATAAAATAAATAAGCAGTAAGTAATATAGATAATAAACAAACGAACTGTACTCATTTGTGTTTAGATGAAATATACGCATAAGAAGATTAATAGGTTTTGATGGAAACCTTAGTAATATTTTAATCATAGTTCGAGATAAGTTTTGAATTAATTTGCTATTTATATACGTTCTTATGATGTTATTATTAAACGGAATGTGAAGTTGCGTGATGTACAGTAATTTACCAGCACGTTATATATATTATCGTCTTTATTGAGAGACTGTGCAACTCTCCTTGAGATTTTATTTCTTTTCACACGACTGAACCATTCATGATTGTAAATCTAATAGATACATGCTATTACTAAAAATCCTCTTTTTTTCTTCTTCTTGATATTAGTAATGTTTCAATGGTTAGTATGTTTTTTTCGGCTATTACTAATGGAAATGAAGTACATGAGTAACATATTAAAATTGTTCCCATTTTGTCGATCTTATGAATAGATAATTGAATTGAAGATCGGCAAGATAGTGAAGAATATTGTTCTGATTTAACACTGTTTTCAAGATCTAAATATTATAACATATATATATTGTTATCTGGATCAATCAGTATACATATATATATATAGAATACACATCTGTTTTTTTTATTGTCTTTTGATTCTTTCTATCGTATTGTTTACTGATGATATATAGAAAAACATGTACAAAGTTGTGTTGTATCTGATACTTTATTTTCATTAATGCAAGGTCAAGAGAAAAAATATACCAAAAGATCATATTTTCTATATTCAACAGATAGTCTTGAGTGTGAAATTGAAATTATAGTTTTTTTGATATGTAGATTTTCGAATTAATAAAAATTTATTTATTATCCAAATACTTTCTATGTAATAAAAGAATTCTGATAATTATCTTCATATTGAATCTATTCCGTGAAAGAAAATACAAGAATATTTTATTGAATAATTAACGTCTGTATGATATTCACTTATTATTAAAAACATCTATAATATTATCTGTAAACAGCAATTTCGTCTATTTTATTTCTACTGTATAATAAAACAAATTACTTGTTGACCTTTAGGAAATATCAATCTAATTTTATTTGTAACAAATGTCATTTATGTATCCGAATAACAAAGTATTCATTGAAGACTATATCTTGAATTTTTCTTTTGTAAACAAGAAAAATAAACATTCGACGTAACTTGACTGTATATATTTCTACATGAGCTTGTCATTGATAAGCCTGGAAACTATAAACGGATTAGACATGCTAATAATTACCAAGTTAATGACTTAGAAACAGTTTGCAGTTAATTATCATTGTATCACAGTAGCTATATTGATATATTGTGTACATTATAGAGAATATCTTCTATAAAATATGGTATCCTATGCGTTGTGTTATTCATATTTCTGAAGGTTTGTCGATTCAGTATTAAGCAGACAAGTTATAGCTATGCTCTTTTTTTATCGAAGGTCTGGATATCTTATGACAATAATACAACATTTGTTTATTGACATTCGTAATTCTGCTATTCTCCTTTAATCTATTTGATTGATCTCATAGACAAACGATAGGTTATTTGCATTTTGTTTTCTTCATTTTCTTTAAATAAATGCACACACACACACAAAACCTAATTAAGTAAAAAAATATATGAATATGAAATAGTAATCGGAAATTGCGCTTTTTTTTTTATAATGCACTATAGAGTGCTCTTTAGAATGAAACAGGTGGTGTATGTCTATCAAAGCTCTCAAACATTTCATAATGCATAAGAATTGATAGAAAATGCGAGTTTACTTACGGTGTTACTCGATGTCTATCAGTTTTTTTTCTAGATGATTCCTGTCAGTTACATGTATATATCTTAGGTCTGTTAATATATAAAATGAGGCTAAAAAAAAGACAGAAAGGAAAAAAAACGGCGCTATTTAGTAAGACAACTAGTAGAATATGTTGATGTGACGTGTTTATAGAGAGAGAAAAGCGTTCTATAACTATTTGTTACACTGCCTTTTTTCCTAAACACATTAAACAAGCTTAGAAACTGATAGAAATAAAAAGAATATTGACGAAAGACACCTGTCCACAACATTTGACACATTCAAAAGCATGACTGTATCTTATTTTTTATGGTACTAAAACTCTCTACATAATAATATTGCATTTACAAAGAAATAATTGTTAACGCGGTGAAGTAAGTCGGAATTTTTATCGATATTTCCCTAGACCTATTATAGTATTTCTTTCATGTACTATTATTTTCCATATGAAAATATTATATCTTTATTTATATCCCTATTACTGAAAGAATTCGATCGATGACATTAAGAAAATATATAAATTGAATTATTATACACTTGGGAAAGCAATATATATCCATTAGAAACGATTCGGTCTTTTATTATATTGTCATCTATTAATAGATCACATCGTAAACGATAACAATACGAATGTTTTAAAACTACATATATTAATATTAGTTCATTTTTTAAAAACAATGTTCACACTTTTGTACAAAAAGAAAAAAAATGATAGAAGAATTTTTCAAATAATCGATCGACGAATAATATCGTTTTACATAATTAGAAAAAAACATAGTATACTTATTCGCTTAGTTCTTACAAAAAAATATGTCTATCACCACGGTGTTAGTTTCCATTTTTAACTCATAATCAATAATACAGAAAAACAGTCGTGCAAGCATAGAGAAAATATATAATTGAATTCTGATAATATAGTTAACATAGGAACTTATATGATTAGTAATTCGAACATAGCATCATAATTTCCAGGGAACTTCTACCATGACTTAATAACTATATATTAATATTAGTTCATTCTTTTTTTAATTAATAGAATTTATAAAAATGGAAAACTTATTCATTGAAATTGCACAATTTTTATCTGGTGTTTACTCTTTGATCCTTATACTTGTTGGTACACCATTAAATCTTCTATGTTTTTACATATTTACACGTTTAGTACCCAATCGTTCAAATCCAACAATAATTGTTTTTGCACATTTAGCTCTAATTGAATTACTCATACCTTTTACATGGAATATAAATTATGTTGTTCGTGAATTATTATGGAAATATCAAAAAACAACTTCGATTAAAAATGTTGAACAACATTCATTGTTTATATGTAAACTGATCGCCTATGGCGCTTATTTTTCTCTTCAATGTGCTGCATGGCTTAAAACATTAGCAACATTTGCACGATGTGTTTCACTACATAATAATTGGCCATTAAAAAAAATGGCTATCGAAACCAGTTGTTATTCGACGTGTTATTTGGTTTGTTGTTATTCTTATAGGTTTTTTAAATTTTCCAATATTAATTGTTAATGGAAAACGTGAATATGTTAATGATCAATATAATCAAACAAAAATCGAAATCAAATGTTATCAATCAAGTTTTTTTTCAATTTTGGGAAATTGCACATTTATTAATATATAATTTTATTCCATTTACATTAATGATATTTTGTAATATTTTAATAATTCGTCAAGTTCGAGAATCTCGTAATCGAACACAACGATCAAAATTAAGTGCAACATCACCAAAAAATCATCGTACAAAAACAAGTGATGGTGGACGATTAACAAAAACTTTAATATTAGTAACAATATTTTTTATTCTATTTACTTCACCTGCTGCAATATTTTATATATTTTTTGGAAAAAAAATTAAGAATCATAAGAATTTAATAACAATGACTTTTAGTAATTTAGCAACAACAAGTCATGTTACTTCATTTATTATTTATTGGCTTACATCAGCTGATTTTCGAGATGCAGCTATTAGTGCTATTTTTTGTCGACCAATAGCATCTCAACGACATTCAATAGAAGATAAACAACATGATAAACACATTTCCGATCAACCACCATTAGCACCGCCAATTGTTCAATCTAATGATGTAGATCAACGGAAATTGCCTTTACTTCTTTCATCATAAAAAACAGTAATTCAATGACGTTTATATGTACATACAACGTATTTCTTTCTTTATTGTTGTATTGTATTTGAAAAGTAATAAGGAACCAATAAAAGAAAAATACATTTATATATATTATATTTATTTTGTAAGAACTATCTAAATATATGCGACGAACAAATAAACAACAATTAAACATAGGAAATAGGTGGAGATGACGACATAAGAAATCCAGTACCATTGTCAATTTGTTGTTTTATTTGTCTTTTTGTTATATCAGGTACGAATAATAGACGAATACGTTGTTTTAAAGAAATTCTTGAATCCGATTGACGAATAAATGCATATATAATACATATTGGAATTGGTAAAATAAAGCCTACATTCAAACACCAACCTAATACAATTGACCATGATGGAAATGTATAATCACCATATTTTAATTCATCTGAATAAGTTAAAGATAAAATCAT